AAATGAGGTGTTTCTTTCTTCGTTGATGGTTGGAGTGTTCGTGGCTAACATCCCCTTCATTTTGTCGTGATCCTCCTGCAGTCCTCCATGTCCCCCGGGTGTGCTTTCCTTATGGGGTGGCTCCACTCAAATCTAGTTTCCGTTCCAGATCGATGGCTTGCTACTGGTGAATCTTTCTTTTGTTTAGTTGTAATAAAGGCATTGATGTTTTCGTCCATTTGATGTGTTTTTTTGTCTTACTCTAGTATTTTTATTTTGGTAATGATGGAGGTGTTGTCCTCCACTTGTGTCTCTGCATTTGTAAACAGGTGTTTGATGTCTGGCTAAAGTTTCGTCTATGTCATGGTGTGATTGACCCTGTTATGTGGTGATTGGTCTCGGTCAACTGGACTAGTCCATCGACTGTTATTGTATTGTTTAACGAGCAATTGTCAAGTTTGAAGTTGATGTGCCGAGCGGATTTTCCTCCGTTCGAGTCACGGTACTTATATTCACCTCTGTTCTATTTTGGTATCTAATAATAGATCCAGCCTTTGAGTTAGAGTCAAATTTCTTTGTATTTTGGGCCTTTTATATATAGTGTAATTTGATTTTTGTGAAATGAATTTATTCCATTTCAAAAAAGCAAAAATTATCAGTTTTCCCTCCAAACTCATCATAGTTTTGGCCCAAATCTAAACTCCAAAGCCTCTACATAAGCAAAATGGAAGGAACAATGGCTGCGTCAAGCTAATGGATTCTTTTCCTTTTTGTTTTCCTCTTCTTCAATACGTTATTCCCTCGCGTTCTGTAAATCTCTGTGCAAATTTGTTAACTTCGCTATAAAGGATTTATATATTTCGACTTTTTTTCCCTCATTACACTTGAGGCATGTTTGTTTGACTGTATTAGAACACCGTATTGTATAATAATATAATAATATAATGTTTGGTACGACCATTATACTGTTTAAACTAATACGGATTGAAAATTAATATGGTTTATATTGTATTATTAAATACGGCTCATTTTTGACATATTGCATTGTATTATTTTATAGTGGATCAATAATTCATATAGGGATTGTGTATGACTTGAGGTTGGGGTCAGGTTGACATGGAGTCATGCTGGAGTCTATAATTGTTGAAAAATTTAGGTAGCACAATGCAAATTTTATATTTAGTGAATATTACATTTTGACCCCAACAATTTTATAAAATTCCAAAACTTTTTTAAAATTACACTTTGACCCCAAATTTTTTTAAAATTTAATTTTGACTCCAAAAATTTTGGAAAATTATATTTTGGTCCAAATTTTTTTTAAAATTGCATTTTGAGCCAAAATTATTAAAAGTTTACATTTTGACCTCTTATATAATGTGTCATAACACCAAACACCGTATTGTATTATGACAATACAACACAACATAATATAATACACCTTATAAAATACAATACAAGCTGCCAAATATGGCCATATATGTTCAAGTGAACAAAATCGAACACTAAGAACTGTTGTTTTTTGTTATAAGCTATTTTGGATTTGGACAATTCACTGAGTTTTGAGGGGGGTTTTTTTTTTTTTTTTTCCTTTTTAGATCCCTTGGGAATTGATAATATAGCTTGAATGTCAACCACTAGTTGTATTTCGCTCGGAAGGCTATTCTGGTCCTAAGTTATATTTATGATGAATAATCTAGTTATTTAGTTATGTTTTGTATATGTTTGTTCTAACTCCTTCCTCGTCAAAAATTTTGTTGTTGCCCATGGGCAGCTGCGAGATGGCTCTTCACATCAAGGTACTGATCAGAAAACAAAGGTGACGTATTTAAAATTCATGTTCAACATCTATATGTGTCTATATATATATATATATATATATATATATATTTGTTGTCTATAGTCTTCAGAAGGGACCATCCTTTAATGTAACATATAAGAGTAGAAAACGTAATATTGTAGTTATCTAACGCGATATAGGAACCTTTTTAACAGAACATGACCGTTATGATTTAATGTAACATGAACACTAATTAAAAAGATGTCACATCGAGAATTTTGAGTATCTCACACTATTGCTATACTTAAATTTGTTATTTGACATAATAAGGAGTTAGAAAGGTGTAATAATAGTAAGAGATAATTAAATATCTTACTATGTTACATTGTCAACGTAGGTGTTACGTTGAATGAGTACCATTCTTATGTTTTTCACTTCTATACATTACATTGAAAGTTTGGCTTCCAATTGGATTTTGATCAAAGTGAGAAGGAAATGAGCTCGGTGTTAAAGAGATTGTAATATGTCTCAAAAATCAAAATCACATGTTTTTGGGCATTTAAAACGCATTTGATAGCAAAACAAACACTGCAGCGAGTTAGAAGCACCGTTTGGTGCTGTCAGAGCAACCACAGCGCCTGCCCGCATATGCAAGCGCGTTGCAGTGCTTTCTGTACAGGCCTTCGGGCCTGTTGATTCTAGTGAACCCGCTGCAGCGATTATTCTGCAGAAATTGTGCATACGTGTGTGATTTACGATATGAAACGTTTCAAACCATTACATCAATTGGTGATATGTTTTCACACATATTTGAATACCTATTAGCAATAAAAATAACTGTTGTAATAGATGTATTAATCGATGTAGAGATACCTTTATATTATAAGGTACCTTTATGTGAATGGTTGTGATGATTAAGGATGTGTTTATTCATGAAATGACACTTCTGTTTTTATTGATTTTTCGGATTTTTAAAAAAAAAAAACTATTGTTTTTAATAATGTTTTAATATGTGCGTGTCCTCTATTAAACAGAAACATGATTTTTTCCAACATTCAAACTTTGATGAAGGTATGAAAAAAAAAAAAAACTATTGTTTTTAATATGTGCGTGTTTCTCCACGTAGGATTCTTTTAAAAATTATACACAAATTGCATCAAAAAGTACAATGCAGAAATTACTTTAGCACCTACACCTCATGAATTTAATTAAACGCGAGATAAATTTGAGACCTACTGGTTGTAAATTAAAAAAAAAGAGAGAGAGAGGAATGTAATAGAGAAGATCCCAAGAAAAAAAATTATATTGATTTAATTTTGTCGTTTTAAAATTTTGGTTTGTTAATTTTTTTATCCTAGTATTGAAAAATTAAACACTTTTCTAAGGGAACTAAAATTGAAATTGAACATCTCGAGAGATTGATTTTATACCTATTGTGTATGTTTTTTTGCAATAACTAGTGCTCATGAGCAAAGCTAGAAATGAGAATAACGTACCGTCTAACACGGCATGGGAATTTTTGGCACTAGAAAAGAGATGTTAATGCGTGTATCTTGAGTGCTAAAAGCCTAAAATTTGGTGATTGGCTTATAAAAATATTCCAACAGATAAAAAGAACTTATAGTACTTTGATGTTTGATCGGTACGGAATTAACGGCCATGATATTCTTTTTTCTTTTTCCGATGGTCAACTCCTGATGAACTAGTTAGTTGGCTCCAATTGGAAGCAAAATCAATATTATTTTGACGGCACGAGTCTTTTAATTGATCACACGAATGTATATACATATATAAATAGAGAAAGCATAATTAATAATTTAAATATCTACAAAATTACTATTGCTTAACTAATAAATTAAATTAAAGAAAGTTTTACGTGGATTCTTCTTCCTAATACTTTTTGTCGTTTTTTATTGTGTTAAACCATTGTCAATATTGTCACGAGTTCCATGATTGATTACAGTATTTCATCTAGCATTTCTCTTTCAAGCTATAAGCTAAAATTGTTGTTCCCACTCAGGTTTGGATGATTTACTCTGTTTAATTCTCCGAAATTTTACGCTTCATTCATTTATTATTACTACCACTACTACGTATTATCATTTGGTAGATCACATTTCGAAATAGTTATTCAAAAAGAAAAAGAGAGAATAGCGAGATAATTTATATATTAATTATTATGTTTGATCAGAAACCTTTTCGCCTAAATTTTAGAGGGAGAAGTATTTGTTTTATATTGTTTTAATATTTTTCATATTCCCAATTTAGAACCAAATTATAAGTTAAACAAAAAACTTTAGAACCAAATTATTACTAGTGACATGACAAGAGTGTACATGAGAATGTAAAACTTTCTTTTGAAAATGAAATCTTGTCCCCATAATCAGGACCTTTTCTATTATTATTTCTTAATAACTAAAATTAGGACCATTTTCTGCTAGATTGCACCAATAATTAGAGGATTACACGGTTTATTTCATAACGATAGAGGATTAGCATTTTAGATTATAACCCATGAAGTAAAAGATCGTGAAGTTAATTAGAGATTAAAGACATTAAAAGTCCGTACATTGTACAATGCTCATATTCTCCCCCCTTTGATTAATACCTATGTATATTAAATCGAAATGAATATATGTATATGCATGAACGGATAACAAAAATAAAGTATTGGAGGCAAAATTGTACTTAATGCAATTTACCTTTCCGACTTTTTGTTTTTTGAGAATTCACCTTTCCAATTACTTGATTCCCCTATTAAAGGGAAAAGAATCAAAAATTACAAATCCATAATTTGGTCAATCAGCCATTTAAAAAAAAAGGAAAAAAAAAACTCACCGTAAGGAGAAATTCCTTTGCTCTTATCAATCAAAACTCAAAAAGCAAAAAGCAATAACGTTCGTACGCATATCATGCACGTGTAGATTCCTACCATGCACGTGTAATTTCTTTCTATCTTCATCCCTCTAATATTTATCTTTATTTCTGGATTATGAATTAAGAAATTTTTTCTCTATATGTGGTAGGAACTTTCATCAACGGCAATGTTGGATACCACAACCCAAGATTATATTCGTCCTTATCCCTTCTCTTAAATCTTATATTCTTTTTGTAATTTACTCTCTATATAAACAACACTAGGTCGAGTGAACTAGTCACAACAATATTCTTACATTTTCACAAATAGATTCTGTGTTAGAGAGGATACACTACTCGATAGAGAGAGAGAGAGAAACCAACAATGGCGGAATTTGAGGTGATCATCGTCGGTGGTGGGCCCGCGGGGATAGCAACATCGGCGTGCCTTAACCGCCTCGAGGTGTCAAATGTTGTCATCGAAAGGGAAGATTGTTGCGCCTCTCTTTGGAAGAAGAGGGCTTATGACCGCTTGAAGCTTCACTTGGCTAAGCAATTTTGCGAGCTTCCTCACATGTCATTCCCTCCCGAGGCACCCACATTTGTCCCTAAAAAGGACTTCATTCGCTACTTGGACGACTATGTCGAGAAATTCGATGTCAAGCCCCACTACAACCGCAGCGTTGAATCCGCTTTCTTCGACAAAAGCATTGGCAAGTGGTCCGTCGTTGTAAAGAACTTGGTTACGGCGGTGTACGAGGTCTATTTCTCAGCGTTTCTCGTTGTCGCGACCGGGGAGAATAGCCAGGGCTACATTCCTCACATGCCCGGAATTGAGGGTTTTGAAGGGAAGGTTATGCACTCTAGTCAATATGACAATGGCAAGAGTTTGAAAGGCAACGATGTTTTGGTTGTGGGGTCAGGGAATTCTGGGATGGAGATTGCCTATGACTTGTCAAACTGGGATGCCAACACTTCCATTGTCGTTCGTAGTCCGGTAATTAATCTTAATCTTATCTTTTTAACCATAAAATTTTTATGTTTTTAGACAAATTATACACCTTATATCTTCATTTTGTATGTTTAGTAAATCGGTCGTTGCATATTGGTATATTATGGTTGCAAGCTTAGTCTATCAGTAAATCCAAACTCAGATCTAGATCGAATCCGCCATTTCCAAATTCCGGACAGAAAAATGGGTTCAAGATGAATTGTTGTAACTTTAGATACTAAACTTTAAATTACAACAAAAATGCATTAGGGGGTGAATAATAACTTACATGGAAATGAATTTTAATTAGTCAAATTAATCCGTTGAATCTACAACTAAGGAAAATGCTTAAAAGGTAATATATTTGTTTCTATAATTAAAATGGGTTCAAGTTGAATTGTTGTAACTTTAGATACTAAACCGTAAATATCAAAAACAAAAACAAAAAATGCAAGGGGGGTGAATAATAACTTATATGGAAATGAAATTAATTAGTCAAATTAATCCGTTGAATCTACAACTGAAAATGCTTAAGTGGTATTTGCTTCTATAATTAACGGCATTTACATGTATATATATTTGCAGGTACACTTGTTGACCGAGAATATAGTCAAAATTGGAATGATACTTTTGAAGTTCCTTCCAATAAAATTTGTCGACATGATAACATTGACTCTAGGAAAATTGAAGTATGGAAATGTCTCCAAGTATGGTCTTCAAAGGCCTAAGGAAGGACCATTTTTTACCAAATTAGCCACCGGAAGATCTCCCACCATTGACGTTGGAACCGTGGACAAGATCAAATCAGGACATATCAAGGTATACTTATATATACATTAAACATATTTGATAAATAAAAGGAAAAACACTTATAATTATAGTTGCATATTTGATTATTATATATGTATGATGCAATGTACAATTGATTTTGGTATCAATATTATTTTATGCACTTACAATTATTTTCCTGATCAATTAATGCAGGTTTTGCCATCGGTTACAAGAATTAATGGAAACAACGTCGCATTCGATGATGGCGAAATGCGTTACTTTGACGCTATAGTCTTCGCTACTGGTTACAGAAGCACAGTGAAAAACTGGCTTAAGGTAAAAGTTACTGTTGTTCATTGTTTCTCAACTAGTAATATTATTAGCACTCTTTAAGTTGATGAGTACTGATCAGAAAATGTATTTTTGTAGGGTGGAGATGACCTCTTTAACGAGAAAGGAATGCCAAGGAAAAAGCTTCCCAATGAGTATTGGAAAGGGCAAAATGGTCTTTACTGTGCTGGGTTCTCATCAAGAGGATTGTTTGGAATTTCAATGGATGCACAAAACATAGCACAAGACATTATTTTTAACTTGTCTCACCGCGAGGGAAAGCTTTGACTTCATCAGTTTCTGGGAGTACCTGTTTTCTGTTGATCTTCATGTTGTTGTAGCTGGCAGTTTTTTTTTTTTTTTTTCTTTTTTTTTTCCCTTTCTTTTGGTGCTAATTTTGTCTATATAGTATCAATTATGGGTCTAGCTGGTAAAGTATGTTCATAATTTGTAGCATGAATTGGTCGATATATAAATATGTTGTGATGTTATATTTGTTGCTGACCCTATATGATGATGAAAGAAATTTAGGGATGATCCCTTTATTAGTTTGGAGTTTGTACTTTTTTTTTTTTTTTTTTTTTTTTGTTTGTAGAACAGGACGTTTCGTTTGGAGTTTGTACTTGATAATTTATCAAAGAAATGTTGCCAACCTACCTTACTTATTATTCCTCATTGTCCCCAAATATTGTTCTTCCCTTTTTATTTTTTTTTGAATGAAAAATTGTTCTTCCCTTTTATTTGCACATTAAAAAATTAAGTGGCTTAATTTCTAGTGGTTTTTCCTTTTTATAGCAAAGGAGATGCAACAATTTTTTTTTTAAATATGCAAAATAGAGACAACAATTAACATTAGAAGGACTTGGGACATCCAAAATATAATGGTATTTTGTTCATCCTATGATCAACCGGCACCAAGACTTCTGATCAAATTTATTAGGGACAAAAAGAAAAGAATAAAAAGAATATATAGGAGTTATAATCCACAGACCATCCCATTAGGGAAAAGAAAACAACCCAATTGCAAACAACTAAACTAACCTTCAAGAGTTGGAAATAGCTCACTAATTATTTGAACTTGGAGGGGGAAAAATACAAAAGAAAACTAACGTCCATATATTTCTTGACTGCTTATACTTTGGAAGAATAAGTAATCTAACAAGAGAGTGGTTTTTAATGCATTTAAATCTGTTACGGAGATAGAACCAAGGATATTGTTCCTATAATTTAAGAGTATTTTACTAATTTGTTGTTTGTCCTGTCAGTACTTAATTGTTGCCTTGCTCTATATATGAACAGATATTTATTGATGATAACTTACGTATATAATGAGAATACCCTCAGACTATCTATAGGTTTTTCCGCCAACAAAATTTTTTTTTTTCTTTTGGGCTAGATAAATTGTATGATTAACAAATTTGCCACAGATCAACCTTATTTCAAAAACAAAACCTTTAATTTCTCTATATACAATCTCGTTTCAAAGAGACATACAAAAACTTTGATTTCTTATTTCTTTATATATATTCTTACTAGAATTTCTTTATATGTAAAAACTAGTAATAGTGCATATATTTCAAGTAAATCATGATTTGAAATTAAGATATAAAAGCAGCACATTGAATGTTTATGAACTACTAGAGAACATAATTTGATATGATCAGAAACGAGTACCACAATTAGATTAATGGCCTTCACCAACAACTCCATCCTGTATCAAGCAGTTTACCACGTTATTTTCAAAAAAAAAAAAAAAAAAGGAGCGGGTAAATTCGAATTTTACATTTTATTATAGAATTAAAAGTAAAATTTTTGTTCGGTTAAGATATGTACTACAGATCGAAGTAAGCAAATGTTTATTCTATATATGTTTTTCACCGGTATACATGAATCTGTGCTTCGAATTTATCATATTTTAGGCAACTTAAATACATCAAACGACCACTTAATTGTGTTGCCTCAACAAAACAATTATATGGCTTCGGAGCAGAAAGTTATAAGAAAACACACAAAAGATACATCTTGTAGTGGCCAAGGACTTATACAGACATTTATATCAAATACTAAATATATATATATATATATATATATGCTTCAGAATAGCCATGATCAGACCTCAAATTGCTCAAGTTGGACATCCTTGGCCTTCAAAGGAACATATTCTCCAAGCTGGTAAACGTCTAGGTGATCTGACAAAGCCGACTTGTCGATGCCCTCGTGGTGGTATGACTTGCACACAAAATAGAGAACTGTCTGGATAACAAGTGCAAACAACACCAACTTGAGAAGTACTAAAAGGCATATAATCCCATAACCAACCCTATCCACCACTCCCAAAGACCATCCATCCACAACTAGCCTTTGAAATGCAAATTGCAGCACAAAAACGGAGAAGGCGAGCTTCGAAAATATTATCATTGCCACCCCAGTTTTCCCCCTAATTAAGCCCTTGCTCTTGTTCATCGCCTCAATTCCTCGGATGTCTTCTAACACAGACACAACACAAGCCAAGTGCCAAATAAGGCTCAAGTACACAAAACCTAGCAAGTACGCAATCACTAGAACTATGCCAATTACCAAATCAGCATCATAAGTTGAGTTAACTGATAAAAGCGCCGCGAATAGGACAATCACTGCGGCTATGTTGTAGGCGGAAAAGGCGAGGAAAGTCCACAAGAAGGTGACCATGAGCCTCTTCCATACCTTCGGCACGACGCTCATGACCTTCTTGAAGGTCGCCTCTTTGCCGGTGTAGATGCAGGCGATGGTGTAGACCACGGCGGAGGTAGAGAGGAGGGAGAAGATGAGGAGGAAGGTGAAATATGCTACTTTGAAGAGCCATAAAGTGATCAATTCGGTGGAGATGAGATGGGAAAGCTTGTTGTATTTGGGACTTCCAACTATGGTTTGGTCTAAATTGCTCTCGTTAATTAGGATCTTCCGAAAGAGAGCATTAGATATCTCTTTGTGGATCAAAAAGATGAGGCTCATAGGGAGGATCAAGGCTAAAGTGATTTGGCTGAAGATCTTCCTAAGTGAAAATATGATTTTGTAGGCTTCTTTGTAGATACCAAACGCCCCAAGAAACTGCAGTTCTTCTGGTTCTCTATCCATATTTCTTGGCTGGAATTTGGGGTTTAGAGAGAAAATCAGACAAATAATGAGGAAAAGAATATATGTCCCGGAAGAGGGGAAAAGTGTATTGTAGAAGGAATTGAGTTGTATTATTAATTAAAAAGTGATCACGTTGGATTTTCTATTACCACAACGTAATTTCCTAGAAATTAACCATCAAGTTAGTATTTGTTTTTGAAGGGACAAACCGCCATTTGTTAAGTCCACATATATATAGATATATATATGGGGCACATCATATATGCATACAAAGTAGATGAGACGGCAATATTAGTGTTGCTAACTGACCATTTTAAAGTCCGCAACACGAGCAATTTGGCAGTGAGAGAGGCCGCCGGTTTTGTATCCACATGGAGTCAAATAGAAAAAAAAAATGGAATTATCATTATTTGAATTTTGTACGTCACTATATAAACAAATGTATTAAAGAAAGTAGAATAGTTTGTCGTCTCCATTAAGTTGTATATATGCATGCTTAGCGCGCGTTCATGGTTGAGAGGTGTTGGGTGGTCTTCTAAATTGCAGAAAGAATATAGGATAAAAGAAAGAAAGTGAATTCGTTTTTCAATCAAACTAATGTACAAATAGTGTGTGTGTGTGTGTGTGTGTATGTAACAACTCCCTAACACTAATAATGTACAAATAACTTATATACATAATGTACAAATTATTTATATGTGTATATATATATATATATATATTAACAACTCCATGACATCAAAAATTGGAATAAAAAAGTAATAAGAAATACATCAGTTAAGCTATGGACTCATATAGAATGCCAGAAAAAACATTTCAAAATTTATTGATTCACACATAATAACAAAAATTAACATCAAGATTCGTTGATTCACAAAAAATACCGAAAATTGAAAAATATAGAAAGTCTAAAAACTCAAATTTCATTCGTGAAAAATTATACTTTTTACATTTGGACTAACATATTTATAAACTAAATTGTCCCAAATACTAACGGAAAATTACAAATGAAATTGAAAAATAAATAATTTCAAAAATTACAAACAAAAAGGAATTAAGCCAAAATGAAATTTGACTTTTCAATTAGATCAAATTATTACAAAATAAAACTTTTCTAACAGAAAATTGCTAGCTTCTAATAATAGAATTTTAACTTTTCTTTCGTAATAATAGTCTTCAAACCAAAAATATAATCCTTAACTGCTACATGATTTCTTTCTTATATATATATAAACTGCATCAGGAAGGAATGAGGAAGCAAAGAGGCTAGAAAATAGGAGGAAGGCCATGATCCCCATCCTTCCCTTTGTCAATTCCCTCTTCCATGCTCGTGTTCATGTACACGATTCCCTTACGTCTCTTCTTGTCTAATGCCGAAACCATGCCAGCCAACTGCCAAACAACATTCAAGTAGACCTAATTGAGAAATCCGTCAAAACAATATCGCGAATTGTCGATTCCGCAAAGTGGACACGAGAGCTCAAGAAAAGTGCTAAAGGGTGCAGAAATTAGGGAAAGGCCGCCAAAATCTATAGAGAACCACGGCAATGATAGTGCATAGGGTTGTGATCATGACCCTCTTCCAATATTTTGGGATATTCTGAACCGTCGTGGATGCACGCGATTTTTTAAGCGGCGACGACGGAGGTCGAGAAGTGATAATTATTTGAATGATGGTGTAGTATGTAGCCTTGAGAAGCCAATAAGTAGCAGTACTGGTGTGTTTGGAGAGAGTTAGGAAAACTACCGCATCAAACAAGAAGAAACACAAAGGAAGGACCAAGAGTAGCATGATTTGGCCAAAGATCTTTTCCCATGAGAAAATGATGTTGTGGGATTCTTTGTAGATAACAAACGCCTCAACAAAATGCATTTCTTCTTGTTTCATATTTCTAATTTTCTCTTAATTATAAGGAATATGACTTGTGAGGAGATGATCAAATTAATGACCAAGTGATTCATCAAGAGGGCATCGTGTGGTTATAATGTATAATATAGTAATTTTGGAGTTCAACCTTATTATATATTATATAAATGATTATTTAATTTTGTGCGTTTATTTATAATTTTTCTTTGGGAAAGCCGATTGATATTTGTCCCACTGCTTGGACTTTCTTGGTCGTGCTATAGATTAAACCAATGTAACATATACAAAGGAAGAATTGATACACACAAGATGTTACATTCGTACAGATTATAAATGAGGAAACTACTACTAACCTAGTCGGCCAGAACTTACAAATGCAATATTATTCTGTTTACATTTGATTGGATCCATTTAAGAAAAGCTACGAGAACTATATATATATATATATATATATATATATATAATTATGATTCTATTGGATACAATTATTGGGATTATATGGATGTATGGCGATATGTCTATATATATGTGTGTGTTTTGTTTTTGGTCTGTCCCCCTTCCAATTTAATATGATAAATGATTGGACGTAACATTGATGTTAGAAAAAAATTACATAGTCTTTAAATGACTAAATTCTTTAGTGTTATAATTTTTTTTAATGTCGATGTTATATTTAATATATATATATATATATAAAGAATTCGATCACAAATTATTAGACTATATTAAACTATATATAGCTAGTTATTATATATGATAAAAACGAAATCAGTCAAAAAGTAACAAAAAAACACCTGACATTTGTGTAGACTTCAAGGGCGTACGGACACAGGGACCATCTGAATAATCTGCCTCTGATTTTAATTAGTCAAACAGAAAAATTATAAAGATATAAATATAGGAGGATCGCCCCGTTTATTTTATCGATTCGAATTTTATTACAATAAAAAATTTTTATAAACAATCACATCTAACTTTTTTGCTACAGTAAAAGGCTCTCACATAAAGTCACATCTCAACTCGAATTAAAAACTCGAATCAGCGAACTAAACAGGTCCTAAAAAACATTTGTTTTATAATCTTCTATCAGAATCTGTTTGGTAAACTTGTTTTTTTTTAACTATTTTTTATTTCACGACCTTCTTGACATCAATTTTTAAATATTATTTACTTTACGCGTTCTTATCAATCAAAACACCAAATGCATTTATAGGATTTTCAGCCGTACTTATCGAGGTGTTTTAACTCTATATTTTCTCGAATTAGCTGTTTTTTATATGTAAATTCATCCATATCAGAAAATTGTAAAATAGGGTCGGACTTCCAAGAAGAATCGTACAACTTTATGTATTTTCCCAAAATAACGTCGATTTTTCTTATAACAAATAGTATTCAACCATCAATTCCTATCCTGTCGCGTCTCTTTTTCTTTTTATTTCTCTTCCTCTTTATAGTGAAAGATACTCCTTGATTTTTGGATAAGATTTCTGTCTAAATTAGAAGGTAATTAAGAAATAAAATAAAATAACGTATATGTCAACTAGGATGACAACGAAATTTCACACATCAAACAAAAGTCATGAAACAGAAAACTGCCAATTCATGCTTTGCACATAACGCCGCTATATATATACAGTACCATGTTTAGATTTTCCACCACAATATTACTCAACAAATTAATATTTTTATACAAATCAAACACCTTTCAAAACCTCAATTAGTTAGCTAGGGCACATGGAAATCATGAAGGAAGAAGCGACCTGTGCATGCCTCAACCTTCCCAACATCTCGAATATCGTGCTCGAAAAAAGACGATTGCTCAGCTTCTCTATGGAAGAAAAGATCATATGATCGCCTAAAGCTTCATTTGGCCAAGGAGTTTTGCCAGCTTCCGCGCATATGCCATTCCCCGAGGGTACTCAAAGATATGCCTCAAAGGATGCCTTTATCCAATACTTGGGTGTTCTTTATCCCCCCCGCTATCGCATGACTAGTGTAGAGTCAGCCTCCCTCAACGTGGAGCGAGAAAAACGGCGCGTGGTGAAAGTTTATTTCGGGGAGTTTATTGTGGTGGCAACCGGGGAGATTAGTGAGGGTTTTATTCCAAAATTGAGAGGACTTGAGAGCTTTGAAGGGGATTTCATGCATTCAAGCTTGTACACAAATGGTGAAGGGTTTAGTGGGAAAGAAGTTTTGGTTGTTGGATCAGGGAATTCAGGCATGGAGATTGCTTATGACTTGTCAGATTGGAATGCCAACACTTCCCTTTGTGTTCGTTAGCCGGTAATATTCTCTGTCTCATATCATCTCTTTGTACATTACTTTGTTTCTTTACTCTTCTTATATTTTTCTTGATTTATATTAGGACTCAGAAATTCGAATTCTAAACCGCAATAACACGACGAAGTTGATTTATCGCTAAGTTAAACTTGCGCTTAAAACATCTTTCTAATCACATACACATTTTGTTAAGATTCATATTGATACTTATTTAAGTTAACCTAAACATATGGGTATGACACATTGCTTTTCTTTTTTTATTCAATTTTTAATACAAAAAATGCACGCAGGATTAATTATGCATTCAATTTTTTGCATGTGGTATGGATAATTTTGCCATAAAGTAAGTAATTTGCTCTAGAACTATGTCCATTTATGCAGTACGGAAATGCTATATATATATATATCATCTTGAACCATAAAATAGTTACTTTTTCGTATTACTATTTAGTAGTTTTGATCTCATCTCTTGTCCTAGCTAGGCACATATGCATGAACTCACACGTTATTTTTAAAACCATTATATATATGCTATGAATAAGATAAATATAAACACCATATTTTTCTCTCCATTTTGGATTTTGACTATGTAAAGATGCACACACAGTTAATTACCGCTCAACATTTAATTTTTGCCAATGTACTGTTGATTTTGCCATAAAGTAATACAATTAAATTTGCTAGTCGGAATTCTGTCCATGTGCAATGTAGTACGGAAAAGGCTAATATATAGTCCATTAATTGTACTTATCTCTAGGGGTGTAATTCGGGTGGGTAGGGTCGGGTTGAGCCGAAAATTAGGCCGAGCCGCACAGTACGGATTGAGAAAATTTTAGGCCGCAACACTCTCTTAAGCCCACAAACCCGTAACTTGTCGGGTGACCTCAGGTTACTCGAGTTATTCGGATTGGATACTCTAAACAAGAAAAAACAGAAAACAACAATAGGTGCAAACATGTATCCAACGTTTCATACATCACACACCATTTCCAACTGCTTCTATACAGAGAAAGCCCTAAATCAAACTCAAGCGCGCTCGCCTCTGATACGCCTGGCGAGCTGAATATCCTTAGGCATGATGGTGACTCTCTTGGCGTGAATGGCGCATAGATTTGTGTCCTCGAAGAGACCGATGAGGTAGGCCTCAGCGGCCTCCTGGAGAGCGGCGACGACGGAGCTCTGGAACCGGAGATCAGTCTTGAAGTCCTGCGCGATCTCACGAACGAGTCTCTGGAAAGGAAGCTTCTTGATGAGAAGCTCGATGCTCTTCTGGTACTTCCTGATCTCACGGAGAGCCACGGTTCCGGGCCTGAATCTGTGGGGCTTCTTTACTTCGCCAGTCGCCGGAGCCGACTTGCGGGCGGCCTTCGTCGCTAGCTGCTTCCTCGGCGCCTTGCCGCCAGTGGACTTGCGAGCGGTTTGCTTGGTGCGAGCCATTGAAGAATCTTAGAACTGTGAATTGGAGAAGTGCGAAAGCTAGGGTTTGCAAGATTGAAATTGGAGGATTTGGAGAGCAATGATGAATGGGAAAATGAGGAGGGTATTTATACAGCGTTTTGAAAAAGGGGCGCGAGGAGGACGATGATTGTGGACCGACGATTAGTTTTGGGCAATCGACGGGTCGGGGCAGAGTGAGTTCAAGAATGCCCGCCCCGTGACCCAACCCGTACAGTGCAGATTGGGACTATTTGAATCCGAATAAAAAAAAAAAAAAAAAAAAAACCACCTACATATTCAGGTTAGGCGGATTAGTCGAGTCGGACTCAATTCTTACACCACACTTATCTCCGAAAATTATCAAGTATATTATCTAATAGAATCTCCATTTACCATAAAATAACTATCCCTATGATTTCTTATAACGATAATTTTCCTCTTATCTTTTCCTTACACGCATTATTTAAAGTCATATTTATGCTACAAAAGGTAAATACGGAATATATTTTTTCTTCTCTTTTGGGTATTGGATAAAAGACACGTACAATAATTAATTGCTCAAAATTATTAATATTATTTTTGTTGGCTTATAATTACGGTATAATTCTTCCATAAATCAGTAGCTAGCGCAATGAATCTACTCTAGAACTACGTCTAGCTACAAAGTAGTTCTGATAATTATATTGCCATTGAGTACGGAACCTAAAAATCTGCTTTAAAATAATATCCATGTACCATGTAGTACGGAATAATGTACATAAGTATTCATACTTATGACCGTTTATAAATAGGTGTTAATATCAAAGAGATATCATCGATATTCACCATAAATTTGCTCTAAATTAATGGTCCCTTATCCTTTAATTATCAATTCTTTAACTTCTGTTACTGATATAATTAAGCAATGAAATCAAACGTTCTGTTTTTTTTTTTTTTTTTTTTTTTTTTGAGAGAGATGATCAGTGGAATATTGGCCCAATGTTGGTAGCTAGATAGCCCGAAAATTAAGATAAGGTAAAAAAAAAATGACGTCTTTTATATATTGAAATTAATCATGCAGAAACGAGGATTTACTTTCCTCTATATATTCTTTATGGATAATATATCCATAGTAGCAATTAATGTAGTGATGTAAATATAATATTAATTAACTTCCCTATATTATAACCTATTAGGGCTATTCATAAACCCGAACAACCCGCAAACCTAACCCACCCCGCCCCAACCCAAGCCGAAAAAAGCAACCCGCAGTATTATTTTTAAATTTACGGCTCATTATACCTCTGGCCCGAAGTATTTGGGGCGGATTGCGGGTTGGGCCCATAACAACCCGCAATCCCCAACCCAACCCGCACAACATACCCCCAAGCTTTCGGCCCAAGCCGAACTGCCCAAGTTCTACCCTAGGCTCGCTAGCATTAGGGGTCACAATCTCATTCTCGGTCTCCCCTCCCGTGAACCCCCTCTTCTTGCCCCTTCCTTTTCAGTTTTCCCTCTTCTTCCCCTCTCGTGAACCCCCTCATAACTCTATCTTCATTGCTCAGTCCTCTCGGCCGCCGTCTTGCCCACTTTCTCCGGTGCTCTCTCGCCGGACTGATAAGGATGGTTGCTATTTCTATTTAATGATGAAGTTTGAATATTATATTGAACTTTAAGTCTTTGATTTTTTGAATGTTGAAACTGACCACCCAACCCACCCCGCACCGCCCCAACCCAACCCGAATATCGTTGGTTTGTGAAATTTTTCTAACATCGTTGGGGCTGAATATATGCAACCCGCACCCTTTGGGGCGGGGAAAAAAAAGTCCTACCCCGCACCAACCCAACCCATGAACACCATTTCATGACATTTTCAGGTACATGTTCTCACCAAGGAAATTATTTTCGTAGGACTGGTAATGTTGAAATTCCTTCCCTTGAAATTAGTGGACACAATAACTGTACTGCTTGGACAATTAAAGTGTGGTAATATATCCAAATTCGGAATTCAAAAGCCAAAGCATGGACTTTTTTTCTTGAAGGCAAAAACTGATCGATCGCCAACCATTTGATGTTGGTTGCATAGACAATATAGGTTAGAAAATATTCTTTGATGTAAAACATCTCTCAAAATTCAGGAAACATTTATATTGGATCACCAATAAACGTTTAGTTTATGGATTCAGAATCATGATTCAAAACTATTCTCGATTTACGTATCTTTTGTGAGAGCAAATACTGTAGTGAACCACGAACCATGATTCGAATCAGGGTACGAATCCACCAACCAAACAAGAGATTAGTGGAAGCATACCTGAATCCATGACAATAAATTAATCTCTAGAATCGTGCAGTTTGTCTTCCAGATCAACACATTTTTTTAGAGAATCTTTTAACTTTTTCTTTGTTCTCTCTCTGATGATGGGATGTCAGAAAAAAATAGAATGATACGTGTGATCTGGGGACTATAACCACTATATATAGATAACTTTCATGTTATCTTTTAGTATTTTTATTTTAGTCTATCATAAAAATAGAAATTACCCTTAAGTCTCTATACATTAAAGGCTCACACCATATCAGATACATTAAAGCCCAAATTACTCAAATCTAAGAAGATCACTTTTAAACGGGCTTAATCTTATATGACAGTCTGCAACACATAATTATTCACATATAAGCCCGATGTAAGATTAAGGATACAACAAGATCAAGATAGGAGAAATCAAGGTACATTATTATTATTGTTATTATTATTATTAGTTAATTAGGTTTTAATGATAAATCTAATTATATTCACACAATATGAAGACAAAGCTCTAATATCATCCCAGGTTTTTCCATCCATAACAAACATTGAGGGGAACAAAATCAAATTTGAGAATGGCAAGATTAAACGCTTTGACGCGATAATATTCGCTACTGGCTACAGGAGCACCATTAAAAACTGGCTTAAGGTAATTGCAGATATCAATATTAATTTGCTTTTTGTAATGTTTGACTTGCAAAAATATATTTTCATGATCTAATATATGCATGTCACATATTGTACACAACATGTTTAAGAATGAGTGATATTAGCTTACATTTTTCATGATCATCTTTCATGCATATTGTATATATGATCATATATATCACTATACCTTATTATGATTTAGTATAATCTTTTTAGGTCATCATGACTTTTTGTCTCCGGACTTATGAGTATTTTGATACCTTGTTACTGATTAATTAATGCAGGATGAAGAGACCAAGGGTTTGATGATTTTGGAATGCCAAAAGCAAGATTCCCTAATCATTGGAAAGGGAAGAATGGTCTTTGTTGTGCTGGATTTGGGAGTCGAGGATTGTTAGGCTTTTCGAATGATGCGGAGAACATAGCAAAGGATATTAATTCGGTTCTGAACCTTAAGATGAACGAGTTACTATCCATAGATATTGGTTAATAGATCCATGTATCCATCATGTTATACGTATATAATGTGTAGAGTACTGACTGACAAGGTGTTTGTCATTTTAATTTTTGATTTTTAATTTTGTGCGTCAATCAAAGAAATGCCAATTTTTTAAAGAAGAAAAATAATATTCATCTCGATGAGAATAAATCCTCATCTCTCATAAAAAAGTGAAACTTAGGACCAAAATAATGAATATTGTTCCGGTGGCTGAACTAATTGCATACACTAATGTGCGTGTGTGTATGTACACATACATATATGTACTACAAACATACATAAATATAATAAACATATATATGCATGTATATATACATACAAGTAGGTAGAACACTGATACAATAAATTCTAATATTAGAGAATGGACACCTTAACCAACGTTAACGTCATTGTGGAGAACCCGGACTTGCTTCTAAGGAAAAGTGGGGTTGGTTAGGTAGCGGTAACTCTCAATGTTACGTTAATGATAAACTGACACTTCTTTCCAAAGTATCTGATTGGATTAATCAATAATCAAAATTATGTATATGCTAATTAGCAAAACGTTTATTAGATGAATAAGCTTATGAATTTAGTCTTGCGTCCCAAAAAGAAAAGTACTCTCAATTTATTAATTTTTAGTTTTAGTTATATAAGGCGTATACAATTGGGTTATTTGCTTATGCCATGGTTTATCCGTGTTTTCCCATCAGTATTAATTTTTCTTGTTTGAAAGTGAAACCTCCTTTATTGACTTTACAGAAACATTAAAAATTCAAATTGTGACATTGAATTTACATTAATGCGTGGAAACGGCCCCAATACCAGACTTTGACTCATCAATCCATTATGTAGTGGTTGGAATATTCTTGCACGTGTTGGAGGGGATAGATATTTTATACATTACGATTTTTAAATGACTTTGGAAAATTGACAGTTTTTACGATTATAATTATGATGACCAAGCTAGACTAATTGCATATATATAATCAATTTATAGAAAACATTACAAAAGAATACTCAGAATATTAATCTTCTAGACTTGAACAACACAAGAAACTCTATCAGCACAAATTTGGCGCTATAATATTAACACGAAAAAAAAAAAAAAAAAAAAAAAACCATCCCAAGTCAATTCCATGTATAACAAAACAGAGAAAAATGCCGAAATTAACAAAGGGATACATGATCAGTAAGAAATAATACAAAGTATCTTCTTCATAAAATAACAAGCAAGCTTAATTTGTATGATTGATTGGTAGAAAGTACCACTAATATTTCCAGAGAGTACTCGACCGATGGATAATATTGGATGAACAATAACAATATTATTGTTAATTCAAACGTGATATTGTTCAAGTTGGACATCCTTAGCCGTGAGAGGAACATATTCTCCAAGATAAACCTCAAGATGATCCGACAAAGCCGACTTGTCGATGTTTTCATGGTGATACGACTTGCAAACAAAGTAAAGAACAGTCTGAATAACAAGAGCAGACAATATCAACTTCACCGAAACCAACAAACAAATCATCCCATAAAACACTCTCTCCAAATTCCCAAACCTCCCTCCATAAACGACAAGCTTTTGGAACGCGTATTGAAGCCCAAAACTCAACAACGTTAGAATCCCATATACGAATATTGCCGTCCACACCTTTCCCTTCAGTAGTGCTCTACTCTTGTTCATGGCTTGAATCCCACGCGCCTCTTCTAAAACCGATACTACACTCGCCGACTGCCAAACCAAGCTCAAGTACACAAACCCCACAACGTATAAAACCGAAAAAACGGCAATAAACCCTAACCCTGCCTTGTAGCTTATGGAAAAAATAAATAAAACGGCAACAAAAAGGAAAATGGTTGCCACAACGTTGTAGACAAAGAAGGCGAGGATGGTCCACAAGAAGGTTACCATGAGCCTCTTCCAAACCTTGGGGACGACACTCATGACCTTCTTAAACGACACGTCTCTCGCGGTGTAAACGCACGCGATGGTGTAAACCACGGCGGACGTCGAGAGGAGAGAGAAAATGAGGAGAAAGGTGAAGTAGGCGAGTTTGAAGAGGATGAGGAAGGTCCACTCGGAGGAGACGAGGTCGGAGAGCTTGTCGTATTTAGGGCTTCCGACTTGGGCGTCGCTTAGGTCAACCTCGTTGTTGACGATCTTGTTGAGGACGACGTCGGAGACCTCGATGTGGATGAGGATGAGGAGGGCCAAGGGGAGGATCAAGAAGAGGGTGATTTGGCTGAGGACTCTTCTACATGACATGATGGTCTTGTAGGATTCTTCTAGGATACCAATAGGGCCTAAAAACTGCATCTCTTCTTGTTCTCTATCCATCTGGTTGTTAATTTTTGTTGAAATGGGATTTTGAGTTTAGAGAGAAGAAGAAGATTGAAGAGAAAGAAGATGAGAAGCTAGCTATAACTACAAGATGGGATTGGAGGAGAAGTGTGGCTTTGGGAGGGGACAATTTGAGAAATTGAGGGTTTCAAAATTACCCCTACTTCTCTAAGAAACTATATTAAGTCGTTATATTTTTTTTAAATGGAATCTCATGGTATGCAATATATACCTATAGGATTATTTATGTAAAGAGTAAGATATTGGCGAAAAGTCAAAAAGTCTATCATTCGAGAAACTTTCAACGTATCCCATATATGATCAATAAATATATATGTTTTTAATTTCATAAATTCAAGTCACGATTTTCAACAAAAAAAAAAAAAAGGAGATTATCAGGAATTGACAAGTCGTTTAATATGTAATTATTAACTAATATTTATTTGGGAATTTTTTTTTTGGTTAAAGATTATATTTGGTAATCTTTAATTCTTTTGATGTCATATATACACTTTAACCTTGGTTCAGTTATTTAAAAATAGCTAATGAACACAACAGGAAAATTGGAGACTGTATTTAGATCGTAGATTTAGGCCATCTTTATTTCACCGACTCGAGTTTAAAATTTAAATTTTATTACAGTAAAAAGCTCTCAGAAATAGTCACATTTAATTTTTTTTTTACTACAGTAAAAATCTCTCATATAAAGTTACATCTCAATTCAAATTAAAAATTCGAATCAGCGAACTAAATGAACTCTTAGAATACGCATAGCAAGTTACACAAGTTACACATACTAATATGATTTTTTTTTTTTTTAAGGGCATCCTGACATGATTTATTTAGTGCGTTTGACCATCATTTTTATAACGACTAATATTCTATCATATTAATTATTCACACCCGCAACATGCCAAAGCACGGCTTCAATTAAACCACGTAACTAATCAAAATATAACATTTTTTTGCTTTAAAAAATCTCTCAATACTGAGAAATGGCAGAGGTGTAATTTAAGCAAAACATGAGGGTGACTGTGGAAGGTGTTAGATATACTGATAAGTCCAATTCGGCGTGATCTGGACAAAGGCAATGGCAAAGAAGCTTCAGCGAAGGCAGCGAGAGACACAGAATTTTAATACAGAAATCTCTTATTATATCTTTTTTGAATCGGTCAAATTGGGCCGAGTCAACACGCTTGTCAGCCCTTATTGGAATTTCCATTCTCTATAAATTCTCCAGTTTCTTAAAGACATTTGGTAAGTGAATTCGTACTGATTTGAATTATGATTCATGATTTATTATAATATTTTTTTTATAAAAAATACACGTAAATTAAAAATAATTCTAATCTAATGATTCTAACCCATAAACCAAACACACTTTTTGTTACAATGCAATTTCAAAAGACCTTTTCTATACTAGAACATGATAATGAAAGCTTAAAACAGGCAGAAAAAAGAAAAATGCCTAGCCCAAAATTTGGGATAAATCTCCTTTGAATACTCCACGAGATGTTTTGAATTATTAGATCAAATTAAAACACATAGAACAAAAAGAATGCGTCATTTTAACGGAATTTGATAAAGATTTGTTTGTCAATAATCAAACTATAATCTTTTGGTTAGCACTTAGCAGAAGAGAGGATAGATAAGAAGGGATAAGATAAAATGAAAAGCAGAGAAAGAAGATTGGTCTCCAAGTGACGCCCAAACCAAAGACTTCCAGACATTTTCTGTTTTATGAG